CAGAACGAGACTTCCCTCGTTCGTAGAGGTAGGAGAACGGCGACGTCGAAGCGGCAGGGGAAGAAGAAAAAGAAGAAGAAGAAGAAGAGTAGGACGGGCTCGTCAGGCGTATCGTAAAAGGTGGGTAAGCACCGGCCGGAACATTCATGCTCTAGTGAAATTAAATAGCTGAAGAGAGTACGATGCGGGGCTGTCTCGCGGCCATTTAAACCGCCCGGAGGCGAGTACGTTCGCGCGCGAGCGCGCGTCGACGGGTTTCTCATTCTAGCAGCATAAATCTTGCACGCGGGACGTCTTGCGACCACGTGCGCACTCTCCGTATAAGAGCGACTACCTGTTGCGAAATCGTCGTGAAAATATGGGCAAGCGAAATTTGGAGACGTTTCATCTACTGTGAGCCATGTATGCGAAACGTCCGTAGAATCTGAGATTGCGATTTTGTGTAATTTAGTGCGACGTTTTTATGTTATTTAAATCCTTTTAAATCCTCTTAAACTCCAGAAGTCTCCAGAAGTGTGTGATTAGAAACCCTCGTAATATACTCGCAATGTTTTCAATCACATTTGTGCTTTCTGCATAATCTCTTTAAATCGCCCGATGAATAAATCCTGAGGTGTAAAAACTTCTGACAAACGAAGCGACAAATTTTGAACGTAGCGTAGGGAATTGATTAAAACGGATCGGAGTTTTTGATCCGATTTGATAGGAATTATTTACAATTGAATTGAAGTTCCGCGAAGACGATCGATGATAGAGAGATATCACGACAGAAAAATTGAATGATTACGTAATCGAAGGTCTGGCGCGCGAGTTAGGCGAATCCACTTTTTTTCGACAAAACGAGTTATTTACTATAACTGCATGTTGGGTGAATGGTGGCTCATCGATTAATGCAAGAATCAGATATACATAGTTTTATGCTGCGAAAAAGGAAACGGCGATTGCAAAGGTTGCGGACTCAATCGCGAGAATTAATAAACTCCCCAATACATTATTTTTATACAATTAAACTTTATATATCCCGTAAGCAATTTTCGTTAGTTGCTTCTTATTTATTAATATAAGGCCATTAAAATGAGCATAAAAGTAATTGACAACTTATTCAAATTTCTCAACTATTTTGCTTTATTTCACTGTATAGATTTGTGCAGCAGTTACAGATGTTTACATTGTTTTCATTCATCTACATCATATCTAAAACGTTAAAATTATACGTATAAATACATTCACGATTTGACTGATTCACAATGTTATCAAGCTGCTACAGGAAAGTTAGCCAGAAAGTTAGCCAAGGCTTTCCTGCATTGCTTGATAAAGCGGGCTTGCCTGGTCCTTGCACGTTGGCCTTCAATTTCAATGTCAAATATCGGTTATAACCAACGGAATGTAAAAGGAATGTTCACGGCAATCGTACATAGATACGATTATTGGAGTTAGATTGATTAAATGACGGCAAAATCAATAATACGACATTGATAAATAATACGACAGTGATACATAAGTCACGCAAAGTTACTTGGAAAAATCTCGAACATTTACAAACTATACCTGTTTCCGACAAAGAGTTTAGGGAGACTTACTGGAATTTGTAACAATAGCAAAGTTTCTACTTTTTTTTTTAGCTGGCGCGCGGTAGGTGGGTTCCGAAAGCGATGAAAATGGCATACTCATTCCGACCGCTCGGGGCTAACTGCTACGCCAATGTCGTTGCCGCTACAGTATACCAGTTCAACTCTTCGAACTATTCTACAAACAGGTAAGAGCGTAGGAATTTCGGTGAATGGCAAAAGTAATGTGTTACCATTGATTTGAGATATCCGACTGCGATGTATTCAGTGAAAAGTTTTACGATCACGCCGACAGATTTTTGCAAGTTTCGTTCCGTTACGCAGGAATTTTTGAAACGATAAACGATCGCATATATAACGAACACACAAATAATATTTTATTTTATTTGTATAACATATTCAATATCCAAGTGTGGTCATTTGATTCTGTCCGGACATTATCTTATCTGCTATTATATGTATATATGTATATAGATAGTCGCAGCATTCTGAATTCAGGCGTAACTTCCTGTTGTGTCAAATTTAATTTATCTCTGTGCTTTATATATGCGTTCCTCATTCATATATGTCCTCTATTCATCATACATTACACTCGCGTAATTAATGTATTACGCTAAACAAAACAAACAAATTTTAAACGTTAAAATCCTTAGAGCTCATTTTTTAAATTGAAAATGATAAATTTGAGTAGCGTCTCCGTATGGCCAGAGAAATATGTTAAAATATTAAATATTGTGCGAATTAAGAATTAAAATAAATCGTCAATATTAAGTCATATCAAATCGCTATCGCGAATCGTTCGTCTTTGATTTAATAAGTTACACAGAAAATTGCCAAGCCGAGAGTAACGGAATGAAAAGGGACCACTACGTGCGCTCGTGCTCGACTTACTTATCTCGGGGAAGTTTATGCACCTCACCCGGCAATTACCGACGTCGCGATCGCAAGCCGCGATCGTGCATACGGTGCACTTGCGGAGCGTCGTCGTCCGTCATACACGCGCGTGGTGGCCCGACTTATACGCACGGCACATCCGGCCGCGGGGAGTCGCAACTCCGGACTCGGACTCGTAGTCCCGTAACTACGCATCGTGTCGTCGCGCGTACGCATTGTGTAGTAAAAACGTAGTACGCGTAAACGAGGCGAAACACCACACGGTTTCGTGCATCAAGGACATTCTATCTCTCCTATACGTAATGGCTCTAACTCCCACTGACCCTCATCGCCTCTTCCTTCTCCTCCACTTTCATCTCCTCTACCTTCGTTCTCGCTTCTCCCACAGTCGATCGTTTCAAATTGTTCGCCGGAAGCGAACCCTCGCTTTTCCACGTACTCACGTACGCACGAAGAATCTCTAAAATCGGCGAATAACGAAAAAAAATAGGAGTTTAGGGAATTTTAATGAGATTTATATGCCCGATACATCAGTGTGTGAAAGTGACACATAAGTTATCCTTTCAGCCAGATTCATTGAAACTCTACTTCGGATCACGATTGTTTCTCGATAATAATATTAACGTATCATTAGTAATTAATTAAAAAATGATAAGATTTATAAAATTTTAAGTATTAACTTTATTTTAAGTAATTTAAGTTTTAATAGCCCATTTAATTAAGCCTAAATTATCGGGATATTACATGTTGAGAAGTAAATCTGGTAAAGAAAGCGTAAAACACTCAATCACTTTATTTAAAAAATGAAAATTTCAAATTTATTACAGATAGGTAAATAGAAATTATATTGTTCCCTTTGTCTTTTTCCTTTTCTTTCACGCTTTTTTGTTATTTATAAAAACTGACAAGAACTCTAAATAAATCACTTCGAAGCTTCTTTGTTTAGTGACTTGAAGAGAAAGGAATTTTGCTTGCTGTGCGAATTTTTCTTTCGAAAGAGAATGAAAGCCGTCAAAAAGTATATGCAATCTTTTTTCAAACATTATCTATTTAGGTATCGTTATCTAACTATAAATAAATTCCTTTCAAAAGCATTCTTATATTAAGGCAATTTTTTAATGAATCATGATGTCGCTCTGGTCCTAAAAATATAGTTATTGTATCATTTTCTTGATTTTAGGAAAAAGCATTAAGCTTTTTTTTATAGCGATCTTTAGAGAGTTTTGTCCTTGATAATTCGGGTTCTCATAATAGAACGACAACGAGACGCAAGCTTGCCGAGAGCTGAGCTCGGAGAGAGGTTCGCTCGTCGGCGAAGAGCCAACATGGAAGAGCTCCGGTGTCTCGGATGAACGAACGAAAGCGAATGGGACCGAAGTCGACCGAGCTGTTTCGTTCGTTCAGTGTTGGGCCGTGTATAAACTGGGCCCAAGGCCGGCAGAACCGAGCGAGAGTACTCAAAAAATACGATATTTAACTTTCTCACGAAGAAAACGTGTAACTTTATGAATATTTCTGTACGCCGGAGTTCTAGCATTGCGCTCGATCCGCGAGAATTGATCAAGAATCGATTGTGAAAGCTCTAACGTTTCTAGATCTTCAGGAGACACAACTGACAGTTTCACAATTTCCTAATACAGCTGTGCGAAATTTAATATATTAATATTTTTCAACGCATTCAGAATGTTTTTATAACACAAAGAGAAACTTCTTTGTCTGTTCGATTTTCTACGAAGGAGTGTCATAAGTAATCGAGCTACGTAATTAAAAAGCTCTGTAAAAGGTATAAGTGATTTTAGTCATTCTGAACTACTGAATCCTGTTAGCAACAGGTTTACCGCTGTTAGCAACAGGTTGCCGTATTCTAAGACCACGTGGAGCATCATGCAAACGACAAATTGTCTTTCTGTGACATTTTTTCTTTTTCAAGCTCAAAATCTTAATTGTCTCAACTGTTCCTATTACTGTAGATTCAATGTTCGCATTCTTTCTTCACATAACTTTTCTTTTACATTCTGCTTTCTACATTTCTTATGTTTTTATCATATTACCTTAATACTATTTTATTTTATTCGACATAAACCAAATTTATTATACAAAACAAACATAAAATAAAATACTATTACTCCCATTAGTAAACTACTATACTCTTCCGATACGTGCACGATAAAACAATACGTGTAATCTCTTTAACAAGTTTACGATTGAAATGGAAAATTCCTAGTGGGTCATTATTACGTATATATGTGAGAACGCCACGTAGAGGTGAATAGAATTTCGGAGTGTGTAGTCGGAGCTTTTAGGTTTCGAACACGAGGGGCTACTTTACACGATGCAGAATACCCCCGTCCTCCCCGCTGCACCGCTGTTTCTCGACTAAACCGGCGCCACGGCCCGGTACCGCTCTCAACGTCGTCCGTAGACTCCGTAGTGGGGAACGGTTACGTTCCACGTGACACGCTGGCGCCGCGCTGGTGGGGAAAAGCCGGTAACTGGTCACGTGACCAAGTGGCGCCCTGTTAGTGGGGGGAGAGGTTGCCGGCTGCCCGGCTACGAGAGCTACGAGGCAGCTGTGCGCTCGGACTCGCCGGCATTCTGACCTGATAAGTCACCAGTGTCGGATCGTGAGAAAGTGGAGAGGGATTCTCGCGCTCCTCGCATCTCGCAGGACATTTAAATCGCACCGCAGGCAGGCGGACGGAGACCGGCGATTTTGGATTCGGCATTCTGAAAAGAGGGAAAACCGCGTTGTTTCTCCTCGCGCGTCGGTCTGTAAAAGAGAGAGAGAGAGAGAGAGAAAAAAAAAAGAAAATCACTGTTTCTCTCCTGCGCCGCGCCTGCCGCTCCTCTTTCTCTCTCCCTCTTTTCTCATGATTCCCTCGGGAAACGAAACGTACTAGTCGGCAGTCGCCCCGCGGACTTCGACAAGCACGAATCGCGCGACGATTAAAAAAGTGTGGCACCGGCCGGAAAAACGCGCGCACGCACACACACGCACTACGCTTATTTATTAGGATCCTCGGAGCAATCCCGCAAATCGTATTATTTATTATGCTTTTTGTGCCTTGATTCGCGGAATAACCACTTGTGGAAAACAAATATTGAAGAGGAAGAATATACGGAATAAACCACACGACCAAGAATAAAAAGAGAGAAATACCTTCCCGGAAAAAACGAAGAAAATGTATAAAAGTACGTGAGAAGCTAAACGAACTGATCGAACGAACGAAACACGCCTCTCTCTTTCGCTTCGCTCACATCATCGTCGCAATTGCGACTTTGGCCTGTGCACACAGAGACACGCGCGCACACGTATACACACGTGTATATACCACGCGTATACCGTGCGTAAGTCGTCATCGTCGTTCGCGACTCGTCGCGAGGTGAGTGATCATCCCGTCTCTGCCTCGTTCGCTGTGAAAAAAAAGGTGTTGAGTGTCTCCCCTCCCCCCACTTCTATCTCTGTCTCTTCCTCTCATCCCGGGATCCGGAAATTCTTCGACGGAGCACGTGGGAACACATCCGGCACGTGTCCCGGGAATCCTGCGGAAGAGATCGGGGAGAGAAGCCAGATCCCGCGCCCGTCATGGACCTTCTGTGCTGCGAGACCACGGAGACCGAGTGCCGGGCGTACGCCGATCCGGCCCTCCTAGGCGATGACCGAGTCCTGCAGAATCTCCTGCAGACCGAGGAGCGCTACGCGCCGAGCCGGTCATACTTCGAGTGCGTGCAGAGGGACATCTCGCCGCTCATGCGCAAGATCGTTGCCGAGTGGATGTTGGAGGTGAGCGAACAAGAGATTTTTTTCCTTCTCTTGTCCTCCACGTGTAGCATGTCATGATGAGCGCGACGTGTAAGGTAAACAGTGACTGACCGTGTATCTAGCTGACCAAGTACACAAAACAAGTACAAAAACTCATTTTTAAATGCTTTTCTTCGTAATATTATAATTTAATTGTAATCTTTAAATATTTTAACAATTAAATTAATTTTGATATTGTAATAAAAAAAAGCATTTGAGATTAATAAATTTTGTGTATGTGTTCAGACATAGATACATCTTCAGTCACTGGTACGTTTACCTTACGTCGCGTTAATTCCGCGAGTTCCGCGACCGGCGTGGCCGTCGGATCGCCGGTCCGCGGAACGCGGATCGGGGGATAGGAAGCACGGCACAGCTTCCACCCTGGCGGCCTGGCAACCAGACCGGCACGACGCGCGACTCGGTTGTTCTTCGTTTCGATTCTTTTCGCGATTAAATGCTAAACGAGACAGCGATGGAATTCGCGTCCGGTAGCTCCGATCGTGTTTCAAATGTTTCTTTGTTTCTCGCGCGCGGATGTGCCTTCCTAAAGATAGAATCGCCGGCGAAACAATTGAATCGCGATCACATTTAATTTGAATGTTAATAAATCGACCCCGTCGAGACGCGTAACAATTACGTGTTTTTTGACAAATGCCGATTACGGGGGAGAAAAAGAGTAGGGGAATCTAAAAATAAAGCTTACCGGTGACCTACAGTCTTGGGGAGCGATCGATTTATTTTACTTTTTTTTTCTCGCAGTTTTCGTTCAACAACAAATAAAACTGTGGGAAGAGCTATTCCCGATCTTGTATACATGTGCCTACACAGGGGAGAAAAGGATACGTTTTTATCGCTCGTTGCAGAGTTAATGTGCCGCGATCTAATGTTGTGGCATGTCGTTCGGGTATCTTATTCTTAGACACGACCGTGCGAGACAAATAGTGATTTATTCGCTCGTCGATTTAAAAACGTGACGGAGAATAATACGACCGATCGGTGCTCCTAAAGAACAATGTAATTGAATTGATTTGGATCCAAATATACATACCCTGCGGGGACGGATAAAGGTCAAGTTCGCGCGAGACGTAAATTTCGGCTCCCACGATTGCGATTTTTCTCGAAACGTGACTCGATAATGTCGCGGGACCAATATTTTTGCGCCACGTAAGTTCGATGTTTTTTGCGTTACATGCGATAGTTAATATTAATAAGCTAACAAGTTAAAGCATGGTAATCACTAAACTGTATGTACCAGCTGGCTTTTGTGATGATCCAGAATCTATGTACATTATATTTATGTCACGAATGCGCATGTGTGTATAACATATATATATATATATATATATATATATATATATATATATTTATTTATATTTATATACACATATACATACACGCGTGTTCGTGACATAAATCCTATGAAACAGTTGGCACAATACGCATCATGTTTAGGTCCCTCCTATTTGTTGACGTCTCCATGCGTCATATGAGTTTTTTTAATTATGCGCCATTGAAAATTGATCTTAATTTTACTCTAAATATTACGAAATAAAATTCGGAGTTTTCATTTTCTGAATGAATTGCCTCGGTTTTAAACCAAGGAAAGATAACGCTGAAGTAGCCTGTATATTGCTATCCGGTAGAAAGTCTAATTAGTCAAGTTAAAGGCGTACAATGCAAATCCCAGGTGCACGATCAACTTCCGCGAACGGCCGTGTTTCGGCAGTGATCGAAAACCGGCGTTGCCGGCGTTTCTTTTGTCGTGACAGCATTGTGTTCTCGAGTCTAAATATACTCGCGCAAAACTCCTTGCCGATTTGCGACGAGGTAAAATTGACATTTTCAACATTGCGACACACAATTGTGCGTCTTTCATTATCAACAAACAACGAGACTGTTCCATTTGATCACGTCCCGATTGACCACAGTAGCCGGTGCTTAGACATTTTTCACTCTTCAAGCGCTGTGAGTGGCTGGTGGTCAATCGGGACGTGGTCAATCAGGTGTCACCCATCGATAATTTATCGGACGTGAAATATATTCTACATATGAAATTCTATATCTTTTAAATGTAAAATATAAAAAGGCGAGAATTACAATCAAAATTTATTTGCTTCTAAATTTAAATGTCCAACCTGTTGATGTAAAAAATTAGGAATTTATATATTTATATATTCCTTCAGATTTCTTTGGACGTTGGGGGAATTTAACATGGAATTAATAAAATCAAGATTCTTCGAGAATTATTCGAATCGTCATCTAATTGAAGAACGATATAAAAGTTGTTTCAAGATATCGATATCTCTCGCTTTTTCAATACACATAAAACATACGATTCGTATGAATGTAATTTTAAATTTATAACAAAATTTACATTTTCCATACGTAACTATTTTTTTTTATCATGAATTTTTTAGTATCCACAAATTCTTCGAAAAAAATTAATTTCTTTAGCAATATTGCGTTTACTTAGCGACGCAGCGTAACATTTTTGACATTTCGCTGTCATTGAGCAGGAAATTCGGGCCGTCACCGATAAGTTTGTCCCGTCCCCTCTTCCCTCCCTTGACTTACGTCACCGCGTTTCCAAAGCTGCCGATAAGGGAATTGTATTCGTCGCGATTGACATCATCCATATTATATTCTCACCGATTAAAGAGCAAGAATCGGCAGCCGATCGATCGGGTATCTATGTGCTATCGCACGATTATCAATTTCTGATCCGAAGACGATGATTTCAAATAGAATTCCCCCCCGATGTGTTCACACGTTAAACGAGGTATCGAATACTCGAGAACCTGATGTAGTCTCGTTCGTTTTCTTCTCCATTTCTCCCTCTCGTATGATAACGATACTGCAATATCACGGTTCGCGAGATATCGCGGGTCATTTGTGTCTAGCTTAATTAGGCTCGCCTGATTTAAGTGTATTCTTAGAAAGTTAAGATTAGGCAGTCCCCCGCAATAATGATTTCGCGATTCGTCTCGGGCGAATAGAAGGAACAGAACAGATTAACGATCGGCTTACATTAATTGGCACGATATATCCAAAACAATGTACATACCTATACGTGGCGTTTTCGTCGAAAGTAGAAACGGGAAGACAAAAGAAAATTTGTCGACAGTGATTCCGCCGGATTATCCGAAAAAGACATCGGGAGAAACAATCTGTCGAGTTAATTCCACCTTCATTACCTCCCGTGCGACTTTTCTCTTCGTCGGATGTGACGTCCTCAGCTTCCGGACCGGATTCTTCGTGTCGTGTTTCTTCGACGTCGCTTTACGTTCTTTCGCTCTCATTTAAACCGAAATGATACGAGTATATCGCCTCCGATAACGTGTACCGCTCGATATGCACCCGCTTTTTCTCCCGGCACAGAAGCCCAAATTGTTTTCTTCGCCGTCGACAAGAAGCGTCTTTGCGGCGAGGAGCGCACGATAAACCAGTATCACCATACCTACCTACAGCCATGTTATACCTACTCACTTCGCCGCGTTGAAAGGTCTATCGCAATAGCGATTAGTTATCTGTTGCATAACTACAATTATTGCAGCCGTTACCTCCTCTCAGTGATTCACTCTTGATAGCAATAGTCAAAAACAACTGCAAAATTTAAATCGAAAAAACATTGATTTTTGTAATGTTTGTACTGCAAATATATTTATTGATTTCGCATTTAATTAATATCTTTCTACAGAAAAATAATGATAATACTATGCGCATCATGATATATATAACATTTAACTACAGATATAAGTATAATAATTCTCTGACTCGACAGTCTATTTATTCATAATGCAATGAATTCTTCGGTATTTAACGCAATGTAACTTCAACGGTAACGGTAGACTTCTTCATTTCATCGCGCAATTTCCGATAGTTCCTTGCATCGTTCTTTTCGTCGAGCATTTAATTGCTCCTGCGTCCAGCAGACATTTAATCGCAATAACCGAATTCACGCGATGACCTCGGCGGTGTTGTTTCACGACGAAAGCGAGTCGCCTGGGTCGCGCAGCCGCGTATGCGCATGTGTGTGTACGCGTGCGAGCCGTAGGCACGCATGCCAAGTTCGCTCGCGCTCGTCGAATTCTTCGACATTGCGCTCGTCGATACAGCCGACCGACGCGAATGACAGGTCGTCATATGCGCCGTTGGAATTTATCCGACTTTTAAAAGAGCGATTACAATTAACCTTAATTGCATTTTTATAGGGTGTTCCAAGCTCACTTTTTTTTTTTCCTTAGCGATCTTTCGAAATTAAATTAGAAACGGTAATTTGTAGGTAATTTTATAGCTTTCTACATTAAACGTTTTGACAATTAAGGACGATGACAGTTTGGTTATCGGCGGGACTTGTTTCGGACATCGAAACGCTATCATTTGCATTCAAACATTGTTAAAGAGAAAATTAGAGCTAGTTTGTTAAATAATACTAACCGTATTTGAGTTCTTGTTAATTAAATAATACTATAGCCAAAGTGTTTTTCAAATTTAAATAACTGAATAAAATAACTTGTGGAGTAAAAAATAACTTAATGTTAATAAAGATAAACATATCATTTTTCTGTAATCTAAAATTCGATGATCCTTTAATTTTAACGAATTGTTAGAAATATTTATTCAATTTGCTCTTGTTCAATGTGTCAAACGAGCTTTTAAAGGCAGGCGCTTCTCTCACATACATCGATTAATTTTTCGCACGTCACTCTGTATATGAAGTCGCGCAAATGCTGCTGATAGCGAAAGTGTTGAATTACCGAGTCGCGAAATCGCGTCGTGGACGATTGGACGCGGATTTGTCCTGATACCTTTCCCGTCGAATTCGGGAATTCCTTATGTGTGCTTCCCTTAGGAACGCCGTTCGGACGGGCCCTAATTGATTATTATCGCAAAGGACATAACACCGGTCGCGGTCGGCTTTTTATCAGCGGTAATTCTGCTTAATTGGCGCCGAACTTATGAGAGAGATCGGCGAGCTCGATAGAGAGTCACGCAGAGTAGATAAGAGTAGCAAAGTTCTCTAAGGCGAACTCATCTTCAAAAGAGGGAGGCCTGAAATACATCCACAGAAAAAATAGATTACCGATTAAACGCGTGTAACGCGTAAAGCTCTACGTTACTGAAAGAACATTGGTAACTGCTTCAATCTCGGTCAGCACTTTAAACAAATACTTTTAGATGATATTCGTGCAATAATACGATATGCTTAGACTCGCATTGTATTCAATAGCAATGCGAGATTTATAATATTAAAAATAAAGATATGTTATTATTTAATGAAGTATTTCGTTATAATGTAATAATAACAATAATGAAGGATATCACGTTATAATTCTGTAGCTCATTATATAGAAGAAAAGACATTATTATTTTGCATTATTAAAAAATTATATTCTGTTTTGTATTATGTTTTGTATTAACATATTATTAGAAAATAATATATCAAAATAGTATACAAAAAATAGTATATAATGTACACAGTGAAGAATTATAGGAATGCCTTTTCTTGATGACTTGCGGCCTCATTCCACCGCTTGTGCATTTTGTGGATTCTCCTTTGCTCCCAACTTGGTCTCGCTTGGGCTTTCGTCGATGTTTGAACAGATGCAAGATAATCTCTCGAACCGATTTCGTTGAAGAATGCCGTTGAAGAGTGTGTACACTCCCTCGGGATAATTAATATTGACCAATTGCTAAGGGAAGAGACGTGGAAAAGTTTTAACAAGCGTCGCTCGTGGTGGTAATAATTTTAAAATTTTTCCACGTCGAATTTCGTTTCCTTCCCCATTTCTCTCCAGGCGGAACCAATCTCACGTATGACTTTTCGTCGATTTGATGTAGCGCGATTATTTCGTTAAGCCCGTGTTGCTAATTGGTGGCGGCGGCGGGATAATTACGAAAGTGTGCGTGCATGCGTTCGTGCATGCGTGCGTGAATACGTGCGTGCGTACGTGCGTGCGTGCGGCAGCGAGGCACTGGCTAGCTGGCTGGCGATCGTTGGTCACGCTCAATAAGTTCCTCTCACGCGGCTCGACAACGGCACGATCACTCTCGGGTCCGGCACCCCGAGGCGCCCGGGCGAAGTTAATTCGCGATCCTACCGCAAATTCAGCGGGTCCCCGAAACTTCAAAGGCGCTCCGGGGTCCGACCCGGCGCTGCGATTTATGTAAACAACGCGGTAATAATAAACATGCGGCAATAAACGCGATAACAAAAGAAAAATGCGATTCATTCCGTTGCCGCGATTGCCGCGTTGATGCACGCGATAAATCATCGATAAGATACCGGGAATTCCTTTGTTTTTAATTTCTACGGTAGAATGGGAGAAAGGAGTTCGCTGGAGAGCGGCAAGAATGCCCGGATAGACGTCGAAACTAGTGAAATGCAATTAGCTATCTTTACGACAGATAGTTAATCCACTTTCCACGATAAGATACGCTTTGTCTTCCACTAGTCCCTTTTCTCCTCAGTCCTTTTAAAGAGATCGTTGAATCTTACGATGAAATTTATACGACGGAGGAATCCCGAAGTCGAAAAGTTCCCCGACCTATACGGCCAAGGCGATCGACCCGCAGTCGTGACGACGGTGTCACGACCGCGCTCGTTAAAATACGATTGAAGGAAATCCGGTGCGATATTCCGGTGCGTGCCTACGTCTCTAGGTTTACGGACGATTGTCGTGCGAAAATGCGTTTCTGCTCAGCGTGAACCCGTTGAGCACTGAGAGAGAAAAAAAAAGATAAATCTTGGAAGTCTGTTGAAAAGGAAAACGCAAGAATTTCGATCGCGAATTCCGATCCGTTCAGATTACGTCCACAAAGTTACGAGAAGAGATTTTGATTGTTATTAATCGATCCACTTGTGAGCCTCCTGCACCACCCTCCTACGCGGGTACGCTCGATATTTTTACGAGATACCTAACCGACGCGTTACGTTCAACGCAACGCGGACTCGCGACGCCGACGAGCTAAATTTGCATCGCGAGCTGCGTATCCGGACGTTATCGCGCGGCGACTCTCCCCCGATCGTCCGACCTTGAAACGATCTCTCGTCGTCGTCGCGTTATCACGCGACTTGCACATCTTACGTTGGCACGTATATAGTGCCGTAATGCATCATCCTGCCGCGTCTGTTGCAGGTATGCGAGGAGCAGAAGTGCCAGGACGAGGTCTTTCCCTTGTCGATGAACTACGTCGACAGGTTTCTCTCGATCTGCCCGATCAGGAAGTCGCAGCTGCAGTTGCTCGGCACCGCCTGCTTGCTGCTGGCCTCGAAGCTGCGCGAGGCGTCGCCGCTCACGGCCGAGGTCCTGGTTTTCTATACCGACAACTCCATCACCCTCGACGATCTATGGGTAAGTGAGAAAAAGCATAATGATAAATCTGAAGAGAGAAAGAGAGACCATCGTTTACTTATCGGTAAACGTGCCTCTTTCGGATTGATATTTTTTTTGTCACACAACGTGGCAGAATTGCGTGTTAACTTTTTGACCCATATAGACGCAAATCGCGACTTTATCTTATCGCGAAACTGTTAAAAGGTCTCTGCAACAAACCAATTATCTGTAAGCGGGGACAATCGCATAACAATAAGTTGACAATTTTTAAATATCAATCGGACGGCTATGCGGCGCGCAGAAAGTTGCTCTATATATCTCTAAAACCGCAGTTTAAGATGCACGAGAATAAACAGTTGCTCGGTATTATCATGTTAATGATAACCAAACTTTTCGGAGTATGAGGTTCTCATTCGCGCCGATTCCGAGAGAGCACCCAGTCTCTCTCGCGTCTCGCTTACTCGACTCGCTAACGCGTTGTACGGACAAAATCGGCCGGACACCGCGGCACGTGCGAACGAACAAGGCACACGCACGGTACCGCTAGTCGCGCGTACTCGTTTGCCGGCTCCGTTGCATAATTCGTCCAAACGGACGATTTTACTAATGCGGCGAGAGATCGAGGAGATTTCCGCCGATACGCCGAGAGACGCGGCCGCGTTGCCGCGATCTCTGCGGGAGCGCGATCGATATCTCGCGGGAGCCGCGATTTCATTGCCCCTCGTCGTGCGTGCAGAATGTGGAGTAACGACCGGCGCGAATAGAAATACGCGAGGAAATCGGCCGCCCGTAGATCCATATATGTATCTGGGCTGCGACGATCGGCGATACATTGCAAGTACGAACGTCCCGCGCACATTTAAAGGTACGTTAAGTAGATATTACGGATACAGAGATATACTCTCCGGCGAGATAGAACGATGTTCACAAAGTGTGTGACGCGACTTGTAAACCTGTTCTCCTAAAACCATAATTATAGAGTTGACTAATTGCAAGATTAATTGTAATTGATCTTTCTCTCTTTTTCTCCCTTCTCTGCCGAACTAACTTTAAATGACCAATTTTTGTGGAAAGAATTTTTACGATAAGCAATTTGATTAGATAAGGATAATTTAGAATTGTTGCCCGATGATCCACGTCGCAGCTAAAAGAGCATATTTTTTGGACTTTCTAAACAAGTAGGATATCAAGAAATGTCGTTTTTTTCAGATTGTTATTCCTGTAGAAGTTGCAAATATTTTAAATATTTTATTGATTTTTAGAAAAGTCGAATTTTTTTATTATATACATATGCCAAAATTGCTCAGGATTTCTAATGATAAATTCGTAACAAACGTATTCTTGATTTACCTAAAGCGCCATCGATTTTTCCTTCTATCATTGATACGTATCTCAACCGATCTCCCTCATATTAATACCATGAAACTTTTATGGAAGCAATTCAGAGGCACGTGTACGATCGGTGACAGTTGAATTTGTTTTCCGGATTCAGACTAGAATTCGCTCGGTGTGCTATTTCTTACACGGGCCACCTCGAAGAGGCAAATCATAATATTTGAGGTTCTTTAATTCTATTTTGCGCGGAGGGGAGATTTGACGTCTAATATAAGAAGAAAAAAACATGCTGTTTGTTTTTACGAGCGTTGACCCCCGTCGTACATAGCCGGTGTGTATATAACCGATACAAAGAGTATCGAAAAGATATATAATCGTCGTGTATTACGCAATTATATTTTGCTTTCGACCTTGTTGTCAAAGATATATCCTGTAATTTCTAAGAAAGTCCGTAATTCGTTTCAGTAGCCCATAAACTCGATAAAAATATAAGCCTGACTAAATTATAAATTATTTTTTTATAAAAGTTAAAAAGGGATCTGAATTCTTAAAATTTTATAAAAATAAAATTGTAACTTTTAATTAATATCTTTTAAGAGATATATAAGAGACACCGAAGAAGTCTGAAAAATGGTATTATTTTTTGTCATCTGCAGAAGAGATGAAGTAAAGGGATAAAATTATAAACTTACTAGAAAAAAACTTAGACATATCCATTGTCTTGCGGATCACCAAAAAAAAAAAAACGGTAATTCCTCATATTTTTTTTCGATATCTTTAACGAGGATCTTGAAGAAAATTCGAGAGGTTGTTTTATTCCGCCTCCCCAAAAAAGTGGACCTAGACTTCGAAACCGGTCTTGGAGCATACGGATTAAAGGACGCGAATTTCGTTAAATGCGCATGTTTTGATATCTTCCCGCTTCCACAATAGTCTCAAGCGGACTACATTATCATGGCGGTCAGATCGTAGATTAAATGCGTATCGACCGGTCCGTATTGTATATTCGCAAAGTTGCAACGAAGGCGTCGTCGCGTCGAATCGCGATGATGTTCGTTATGTGAATGATATTGGCTTGTCCGGGAGCGCAATTTTCAATGCGAGATGGTCCAATCGACGGTGACGTGGCTCCACGTAGACTATTTTGGGCCCGTACCAGGCGGTCTTCGGCTATAATGGGACGGCGATCATCTTTCTCTATCCCTCCTTCCCTTTCTGTCTAACGTTCGCTCTCTTCGACGTCGCGCGATTTCTTTGCGGCCTTCGAAAGTCGAATATCTTCCGTACGTGTCTCGCACGTTTTTCACGGAGGTCACTCGCGCGTGATCATCGGGCACCGGTGCGTTGAATTCGTCATTATCGCCATTCGCCAGACAGACGTAGCAATTAATCGCGCATTGATACTCTCTCATTGGAACAACCGTCTAAATACCGACCACGATTTCCCCGGCGAACGTTAATTATATTGATGACGACGCGAGCCCACTCGCCGATGTAATGTCAAAAAGGTCGAGAAATAGTTTCTCTGAGACTTGCGAATGGATCTCTGAATTTAAATGAATTTTATCCGGCTGGATCAAAGTGAAGTAAGACGTCGGGGGAAATGTGCGTCGTATTTTAGAAATGTGCGCAGCGTTTATTGTACAAGTTGACGCGTGCGATAAATACGTGTATTTATAATATTTTTACAGACGAGAGGTATTTATTTATATTTCTAAAATATTTGTAGATTTTCATTTGATGTTAAATTTGAAGTTAATTTATATTTAAAGCGAATTTTAAATTTCAAATTACAGACAATAATCTTCTCTTTATTTTTAAGCCTCTCATTCGTCCACATCTTTCGTTAACTTATTTCTTTGAGCCGCGCAACTTATTAACTTTTCAAAATTACTGTTATCTTTTGAGAGAAACTTCTGAAAGACTTGATTATCATTTTTATGTAACGTAGTAATTATTCTATTTATCGATTTATGAATTTATTCCGATCGGGCACACCTCGGCGAAACGTGAGAATTACATCAGCGTGTGCTCCTCCGTTTTTACGAGAGTACAAGGATATCTTGTTCAAGCGCTCCTCTATTGGTGGCATGCCAGATAACTCGTCATCGCCCAGTGTCAGTAGCGTATCTTCCACCGACGCGACTCCGATCCAATCATTATTCCTGTGAATCATCGACATTTTTTGCGATCCACTGTGATGTTAGTCGCAAAAATATTGTGCACGATATTGGTATGTCATGCAACGTTTTGCTTCTCAAGATTTGTTTTTAAGACAATAGTGTACTATTAACCTTGTAACATAAAACTTCTCGGCAGAGACAAAAAATTCGTACGATGAAAGCGGCAAGCAAAGGTTTTTGCTTTTGCCGACAGCTCTAAATACAATATCGAGATACGAAGGTTTAGGCGCTTCAAATTTTTTCTTATGTTATATATACGTCTGTAACTAGGAATTATCAATCTTTCAATTATACGACGTCTTTGCGACGATTATTGTTAATTTAACGACGAATATTTCAACTCTCCACTGCTCGTCGATTCTCTGCGACTTGTTGTTCCGTTTGCATTCTCACCGCAATAAATCACGGCGAACTGATCCTTTTGCAGAAATTATAATAGACCGCGAGACTTCTGCGGACTACCGTGTGACATGAAACATAATCATGCCGAGTGTCAGATATCAAACTATGCAGAGTCTAATCTTCGTCGCGTAAAACGTGACTATCGCAGTTTCGGTGAAACTTTGTTTAACGAGTTATTCGACTTGGCTCGAGATTATTTTAAATTTTGAGATCTTCAGTTTCTCAGAGGAGCGACTTTTAAAGGCCCGTCATAGCGAATCCTTTCTTTTTCCTTTTTGTGAATGTGAAAGAATCTTTTGGATCCGAAGGCACGCCGGGATACCTCTGACTCACTCGAGTACGATGTGCGCACACCAGGATGTCACCAGGGAAACAATGAAACGTTATCGCCGGCCGAAAAAAATTCCATTCACCAGTTTTACGCCCTGCATGGAAAGGGACCGATTTTCGTTCGCAGCATCGATGGTGGTGGCCGTTTTTTCCCGTAAATTAGATAGTTTGCCTGCGATTTGTACAAACAAACCGGCCAGCCGGAACACGTTGTTGTCCACGTGAAGAAGAAGAACAGGCTTCGTGAATTTAAATGCTCCTCGACATTCGTCCGACACGTGGTGGTCATCTGTGTGCGCAACGTATCTGCGTGCGTGTGTGTGTCTGTATACACGTACGTGTACGTACACATATGCATACGCACGGCGACGAATTCCGTCTCTCTTGAGGAACACCGGAGCGAGAGCGCGCAACGCAAGCTCTCCGTGCTCCCGAGCAAACACGCGATAGCCTGAGCAAGCCTAAATAGATAACAGCTGATACGGGAAACGATTATTTAATTTCCAGTGACTTTCTCACTCTCTTTCCCTGCCTTTCTGCCTGTCTCTCTCTCTCTCTCTCTCTCTCTCTCTCTCTCTCTCTCTCTCTCTCTTTCTCTTTCTCTTTCTCTCGACTGCGCAGCCCACTGCGCCGTTCGATTACGTGTGTGCGAACGCTCGGTTCTCGTTTAAACCGCCGTCAAGGTTATACGCGAAATTCTTGCCTCGCCTACAACTGGCTTTTAAACTCTTCTCTCCTTTCTCAGGCACTGCACTTCTCTTTCGTTAT